AAAACTTTTTACGCTTAATTTAATAATCAAATTATTTCATTAATTTTTTTTTACTGAAATAAGAGAAAACCTTTAAAGAATATAATGTTTTAACTAGCTAAATTAACAGTAAAATATTTAGTTTCATGTAAGAAGTTTACATCATTTACGTTTTGAGTAATATTTTTTAATGATTTCTAAAAAAAATATATACTTTTTCAAAACCATTGCAATTTTTTCTAAAGTATAATCCTGTAAAGTAAATTTGTTTACAGATCCGAATTTTAAAATAAAATTGTATTCATATTTTAAATGTGGAATATAAAAAAAAGTAACTATTTATACCTTCATCCATACTAATATTTATTTTTTTAGCAGTTTGAAATAACTTTAATTATTTTCAAAATCTACGACGAAACGAAAGCCTTACAAATTTTTCAACAATAAATAATATTTACTAACGAAAATTTCGATAAATGCCAACTTAAAGAAAAATACTGGTCAATTTTCTGTCACTGTGTTGGTATTGTTTGCGAGAGCATTCGTTTTGAGAGTGCTCAATTGTGCGAAGCGTTGCTGTAGTTGGAACACTCAACGTTGAGCATTATGCCGCAAAATGCGCTCTAGTGCTGTAATTGGAAAACGCAATAAAGTACCCCTGGACATCTTGAATTTAGGGGTAAATTTGGGGTGAAATAATAATAATGGAAATAATGAAACAATGGTTGACGTTGGCAAACTAAACTTTTATTTACTGAATCACTTACATAATGAAAATAGATGGCGCTAGTTGTATTGATATTGTTACCATACCAATAAAAACAACACCTCCACTTTAAACAAAAGCAATACATAATCTTAAATCTAGTAATTAACAGGTGAAATGCCAAGCTTTTTAGTAAAGTAATTATGTTTAACTGAACTTAAACTTTTTGTTAGAATATCTGCAGGCATTTCAGCTGTTTCCAAACATGCAATTTTAATAAAGTTCTTGGCGACAGCTTCTGCTCACAAAGTGTAATCTTATATCTATATGTTTAGACCTTCGATGGAAAATAGGATTTAATGCTAGTTTTTGGGCACTTTGACAATCATTATATAAAACAATAGTATCCGACTTTCCATAGATTTCTAGATTTTTTGGGTTTCTTTAAATATTTTAATACCCTTTTTATAAATGTCTCCAGTGAGTCTCACAATGTGAATTATTAAATTGGCTAAGATACGAGGGGAGGTCCAAAAGTTCGTGGAATGGAGGGGATGGAGTGGGGATAGGGGCGCTCGCTTAGTGTCATACTAATTGGGGAATGGGGACTCATAATTAGTATATAAATGGAGTTTCAGCCCTATTGCGTCATTCGTTTACGAACACTCGCCTGCTAAACACGTCAATCCGGAAGAAAACTGAAACTATGGAGAAAATTGAACACCGTGCTGTCATTAAATTCCTTACCAAGCAAGGAAAGAACGCTCAGACCATTTTGAATGAAATGGAAACTGTTTACGGGGAACAGTGCCCTAGTAAATCAATGATTTACAAATGGCATGGTCTTTTTAAACATGGTCGGGAGTCGATTGAAGACGACCCCCGCTCAGGAAGGCCAGTTGAGGCCACCACATCGGACATCGTCGAAAAAGTGGAAAAAATTGTACTGGAGGACACCCGTTTGAAGAAAAAACAGTTATCTGCATTAGTTGGAGTATCAGATACCACAATTTTGCGAATCCTACATGACCACCTGGGTATGACAAAAGTCAGTGCAAGATGGGTACCGAGAATGCTCACGCCGCTTCAAAAACAGCAGCGCGTCGAAGCGTCAAAACATTTTTTGGAGTTGTGTAGCGACGATCCTGGATCGATTTTGGAGCGAATTGTTACCGGCGATGAAACATGGGTTCATCACTTCGAGCCTGAGTCCAAACAAGAGTCCATGCAATGGCATAAAAAGGGGACACCAACGCCAAAGAAATTCAAAGTGTCGGAGTCGGCTGGAAAGTTGATGGCTACTGTTTTTTGGGATTGTGAGGGGATAATACTGATTGATTATAAAGAAAAGGGCAGGACCATAACCGGAGAATACTACGCAACAATACTAGAAAAATTAAAGGATGCCATCAAAGAAAAACGTCGGGGAAAATTGACCAAGGGTGTGTTGCTCTTGCAAGACAACGCGCCGGTTCACAAGAGCAAAGTTGCAATGGCTGCTCTACACACGCATGGCTTCGAATCACTAGTCCACCCACCCTATAGTCCAGATCTGGCCCCAAGTGATTTTTATTTCTTCCCCAATTTAAAAAAGACTTAAGGGGAAGGAAATTTTCCGACGACAATGAGGTAAAGGAGGCAATTTTGGCTCATTTTGAGGGAAAAGATAAAAAATATTTTTACGATGGTTTAGAAAAATTAATTCATAGATCTAATAAATTTATTCAGCTTAAGGGTGATTATATTGAAAAGGAAAAATAAATTTACTGTTTCATTTTTACTAAAACCCTTTCATTCCACGAACTTTTGGACCTCCCCTCGTAGCTGACACTATATGCAATATCTGGCCTGGTGAGGACTGCCAAGTACATTAATCCACCAATTAACTGTTTATATGGATACTCACGTCATACATTTAATGATTTTTCTAGTTTTAAATTTGCCTCCATAGAAGTATCTGCAGTTTTACAGTGTGACATATCAAATTTCTTTAATAAACTATCAACATATTGCTCCCGGTCAATAGTAATTAAATTTTTACACATATTAACTCTTAGTCCTAAACATTGTTTCACTTGACCTAAGTTCTTAATTTTAAATTGACTGCCTAGTTCTTGAACAAGCTGTTCAGTAGCTTTAGTACAATTTGAGAACACAAAGAAATCATCAACAAATAATGCAATAATTAATTTAACATTACCTTTAAATTTAGTAAACAAGCAAGGCTCATATTCAGATTTTTTATAACCTAGACTAATTAAATAATCATTTACTCTTTGGTACCAAGCCCTAGAAGACTGCTTCAAGCCATATATTGCTCGTTTTAATTTTAATACCTTATTATTATTTGTATCATCACACTCAAAAGTAACAGGTTTTTTCATGTATACCTACTGTTTCATTCAAAATACCGTTCAAAAAGACTGTAGCTACATCAGGAAGAATGATTGCTAACTGTAACTTTGCAGCAAATGCAAATAACAACCGTAATGTGGAATATCTCAGCACAGGAGAAAAGGTTTCATGAAAGTCAACACCAGCTTGCTGGGAAAAACCTTTTGCAACTAATCTTGCACGATATCTCACATTATTTTCACTGTCATGTTTCTTTTTAAACACTCATCGGCACTGGATTCCTGAACTGTCCTTAGGATGATCAACAAGTACCCATGCATCATTCTCTTCAAATGATTTCTAGTTCTTCTTTCAGACTTGCTCGCCAGAATTGACTTTCTGGGCCATTTAATTCCTCTCCGAGTGTGATGAAGTCTCCTTGACTACTGTCTTCACACTCCACCATACACAAGTTATTGCAACCATACCTATCTGGTCTCACTCTAGTGCGTTTGGATAATTGCTCTGGCTCAATTGGTTCAACACCTGGGTCTGAGACTGTGTGAAATGAGTTATCATTGGAAGTACTCACTGAAACTTCGACTAGTAATCTTGTAAGTAGTTTTACTTTTTAAATAAAAATAATAAAGCTTTGATTTATGCAGACAAAATTAGTTATTCATATTTAATAAAAGATAAAATGTAGATTGATTTTCTTTTTATTACTCTCTTTAATTAGTGAAAGTTGTAATAAAATAAACCATTTGCATTGAAAATATGTCTATACTTTTTTTCTAAAAATGCCATTTTATACTGAAATATCATTGCATTACATTATAGCTAATATCTTATTTTGTGTCCAAGACATAAATCAAGTAAAATAATTGAAAATATTTAGGTTTTAAATTTTTATTTATTACAGTTATCAAATATAAATCTCAGCTTAAGTTCAATATTCTGGGATTCTTCTTGGTACTAAGTATTACATAATTATAAAAAAAATCTCTAGTTAATATATATAATTAAAAAACACAGAAAAGGTAATATATACACTAGCAGAAATAAGTAATTTATAGGAATTCTCTTTAATTTCAATGTTCAACATTTTTCACTTAACACAATTGCATTTGAGGGTAAACACTAATTTTTCTTTTTTATGAGACTCAATAGTAACTTTGTCTCATTTATCTGCATTTTCTGGTGCTTTTTCTGTTTTTCTACTGGTTTCAATTTTATTATACGGCTTCTTATACCTGTAATTGAGGCCTTGTTCTGTATAGATTTAACAATTTTTTCTTTTGACACTGGAGTAACAAGCTTATCGTTGTGAATTATTTCTTTTATCAAAACAGCACTTGGAAAAGAAACTTTTTTCTTTGCATTGAATTTTTTCTTTAGAATTCTGTTTGTATTACCAGAACTAGCGAGAGCATTTTGCCGTTTTTCCAACTTACTTAAGACCTTCACTTTGTTTTTGGTAAATTTCATGATTTTTGAAGGTAGTTGAGATAGCAGTTTTTAATGGAATTGAAAGCAAAAGATTGCTAGTTATTTCACAAGATTCACAAGAAGAAGCTGTATCTAGTTACTACGTCTCTTTTGTTTTATTTGAGTTGTAACTCGTTCAAGTTGCACAATAAAATCACAAAGATAAGAGCAAAAGTACACTACTATATCGCATGGCAGTATGCAATGAAATGGATTATGGACCGTGGCAGGGTTGCCAACTCCTACAAAATGTTCCCCCCTAGGACCAACTTCAAATACCCCTAAATGTCGATTAAAAACCCTTAAAGTTTTTGTTGTACACTTGGTTTGAGAGGTAATTTCAAATATGAATTAAAAATACATTACAAATATATATGTTAATCAATGACAGAATAATAATAACAATGAGATGAAACGATTCTTATTTTTATTTCTTAACTTTTCTTTCTTTGAATTCAATTGGTTCAACACCTGGGTCTGAGACTGTGTCAAATTAGTTATCATTGGAAGTACTCACTGAAACTTCAGATTCTGAGACATAAGTTTCATACCCACAATCGGCTTCAGAGGAAGAGCTCTCAATTTCTTCATAATCATTCTCTTGCTCAGTTACCTCCACTGGATGCTTACATTCCAATGGTATTTCTACCATATTCTGGTATGGACTTTCAATGACTACTATATCTCTGCTGGTTGTGACAATGTTAGTTACAGGATCATATACTCTATATCCTTTAGTCTTTTCTGCATAACCTATAAAAAGCAGCTTGTTGGCCTTCTTATCCCATTTCAAACGTCTTTCCTTGGGAATGTGAACCATGACTACACTGCCAAATATATGCAAATGACTTAGGTTTGGTTTCTGACCAGTCCATACTTCATAAGGAGTCTTATTATTCAGCCCCGTGACAACTGATCTATTTCTCAAATATACTGATGTGTTGACTGCTTCTGCCCAGAATTTCTACTCTAATCCAGCATCGTAGATCAAACATCTGGCTTTTTCAACTACTGACCTGTTCATCCTCTTGCAGAGACCATTCTGTTCTGGTGTATAAGCATTCAATCTCTGGTGAATTATACCATGGTTATTTAGATACCTGCTAAATTCATGACTACAAAACTCCCCTCCATTGTCAGTTGGAAGAACCTTGACTTTCTTTCCTTTTTGGTTTTCTACCATACTCCGAAATTCTTGAAAATACTGGAACACTTCATTCTTAGCTTTCATAAAATAAACAAATGCCATTTTGCTTTAGTCATCCACAAACAAAACATAGCATTTTGATCCTCCAATCGATTGATAGGACCTCCAACGTCTGCATGAATAATCTCCAGGACATCCTCTGTTTTAGATGAACTTTTCTTGAAAGGCAACCTAGTTGATTTGCCTTCACAACAAACAGTGCATGAAGATTTGCCTATGTTTGCCACCTCAGGATATGTGATTCCATCCATATTTTATTCAGGCTTATATATACTTTTGATATGCCCTAATCGCCGGTGTCAAGTCTTACATGATGTTATTGCAGGTGCTGCAAATATTTCTTCGACTTGTAATGTTTGTAATTTATACACACCATCAACTAATTCTGCTTGGCCAACGAGTTCTTTCTGTTGATTATAAACATAGCAAATAACTCCTTTGAAAATTATATTGTTGCCATTCCTAATCAACTGACTGACACAGAAAGCAAGTTAGTTGTTACAGATAATGGTCATTGAGTATTCTGGAATTGAGGTTAGTGCAGATATTGTGCGTTTTCCAATTACAGAGCATTTTTCGACTCAGTGCCGCACAATGCCGCATAATGCTGAAGCTTAATTGGAACGTGAATTAGTTTTCAAATGCATCAGCAGAGTGCGCTTAGTCAGTGTTGACAAAAAAATGGTCTGAATAGAGTTAGCAACCTCATTAATGTATAAATAATGTGGTAAACAATAATAATTGGTTGAAAACTTTTTACGCTTAATTTAATAATCAAATTATTTCATGAAATTTTTTTTACTGAAATAAGAGAAAACCTTTAAAGAATATAAGGTTTTAACAAGCTAAATTAACAGTAAAATATTTAGTTTCATGTAAGAAGTTTACATCATTTACGTTTTGAGTAATATTTTTTAATGATTTCTAAAAAAATATATACTTTTTCAAAACCATTGCAATTTTTTCTAAAGTATAATCCTGTTAAGTAAATTTGTTTACAGATTCGAATTTTAAAATAAAATTGTATTCATATTTTAAATGTGGAATATAAAAAAGTAACTATTTATACGTTCATCCATACTAATATTTATTTTTTTAGCAGTTTGAAATAACTTTAATTATTTTCAAAATCTACGACGAAACGAAAGCCTTACAAATTTTTCAACAATAAATAATATTTACTAACGAAAATTTCGATAAATGCCAACTTAAAGAAAAATACTGGTCAATTTTCTGTCACTTTGTTGGTATTGTTTGCGAGAGCATTCGTTTTGAGAGTGCTCAATTGTGCGAAGCGTTGCTGTAGTTGGAACACTCAACGTTGAGCATTATGCCACAAAATGCGCTCTAGTGCTGTAATTGGAAAACGCACGAGATTTCTCACTCGTGTCTTTTGTCTATAGTCATTCCTCAGTTTTCGCAATTCGCTCCTCACTCCTGTCTGTCACCCCGTGGAAACTAGAAATCTTTGTTACAAAAGTAGAAAATAGAAAAACAAACAGAGGTAATTTTCGTTGCAAGATCACTGTAAAAGTATATTTTGCATTACAAAAACTAGAAGTATATTACAAATAACTACTTACATTGTGAATTATTGTGTAATGATATTAGTGATTGTACATAGTATATTTTCAAAGTAATAATAATTATTTGCAGTGGATGCATCAGAGTACTTCACTTGACGATGAAAAAGCAAAGAACAGAAGTGCAATGATGGTGAGTACTATCTACACAGTTTTATTACCAAATCTAAAATCAGAATCAAATGTTGTACTTATTTATGCAAAATAATTACATCTTCCGTACAATCACGATTCACACAATTTAGAGTAATGTATGTATTAATTCATATCAATATTTTTATTGTTGTGTATACAACAAAAAATTTTAACATTGTGTTTTTAAGTAACAATACTTTAATTTTTAAACATAACACATAAGTAAATTAAAAGTAATTTCATACTTTTGTTTATATTTTTACAGACAATATACTAACTATATTGTATAACATAATAAAGTGAACTGAAGAGACATTGTTCCTCAAGTGTCTATGTATATCAATGATTCAAATAATCTGTTATAGAAATAGAGCCGAGTTTTGTGTCTATTTGGACAAAGTTGAAAGATGTCTTCAGTTGGGCAATTGGTACCACAAGTAACAAAAGGGCCGCCTAATACAACCTACACATTCAACGGCCCACACATAGAAGGTTCATTCTGCACCAACATAAATACTAATTATGATCCAGTTGTAAGCATCATTTGTGCTATGTATATTGTTTTTGGAATAGTATATTCCCTTTTTGGTAAGTTTAGTTTCTTTAAATATATTCTAACTTTCTCTACATATCTATTGTGTTTCTTTATTTTAATGTGCCTTTTAGGATATCGATGTTTTAAAGCAAGTATGTTCTTGACGGGGTTTACATTTGGTTCTGCCATTGTGTATCTTATATGTTTACAAGAATACTTGATGCCGCCATATGGAAATGTTGGTGAGTAATAATTATTTGATTAAATTTAAATATTTCATCAGTCAATCACTGACCAACTAACTTATTATTAGCACTCATCTTCTAAAGTACTCTTTGGCAATGTAGTTAAAGATTTAATTGTTGTGCAGGTGTTGCACTATGTGCTGGACTACTTTTTGGCCTGATAACAATGCTTATTCAGTATGTTGGGCTGTTTATGACTGGATTCCATACAGGATTATTGATTGCTATTGCTGGTCTTGCTGTATATGATCATCTTCTGGACAGCAGACTCAATACGGTGAGATTCTCAAATAGGATAATATTTCAGCTTCATAAATAATGGTCTTGGTAATGGAACTTAAAGTAACAATAATAATAAAAGTTTCAGGTATTCTGTAACTGTTAATTTCTGTTAAAATTAAAAATCACACCTATAAGTTGTAAATAAATTACCACTGTTAAATGAAACAAATTTTTAATATAGCTTGTCTATCTTTCATAGTAACTATTTATAAAATGTCCTTGCTATAAAGCTGAAACAGTCATTTAGTGGCCATGGAACACAAAAACAGTATTGTAACAAAAAATAAGTAGTTAGGATAGATGAAGACAATGTCACTGCTATGTATTATTTACCACCTATGTGGATCTATTCTTTAGAATATAAAGGCACAAATCTCTGATCACTTGCCTGCCTAAATAGGAAAATTATTATTTGATAATTGCAAAATTGTTCTGTTTGCGTCGACTTATATGATTATACTAATTTGGCTGGCGCAGGGCGTTTAAGTGAGTTGGCTTCCAAATAACGATTTATATATTGGATAATCTTCCTTATTGGATATCACCAAGTACAAGATTGATCGTTTCAGCCATTGAATAGAAGCAATTGAAGCGTAGCTGTAACAAATATAACGTGTTCAATTGCACTGATACATGCACCAAGCATTTCAGATATAGGATTGCAGTTTAATATATCTTATATCAAATAATCTTAAGATTGTTTATGTTGCGTTAGATAATAATTTTACGTATCTATTATATTATTATTTATATGCTAGCGTGTCTTTTTTTATACCAACATTATTTAAATACTCTCTTACTACAATGTAATAAATAATATTTTGAATCATATAGAAGTTTAGCTATAATTCACAAATCTGTATACTGAATTTCCTATGTATATTGCAGACAGTCAGTTCCGTTTTATTGATTATTTTTATAAGTAATCGGAATTTTGTGTAGACCTTCGCTAACCAAAATATATATGTATTATTTTTTGCAAATAACATTTTGAACTCAGGACCTATTTAAACAAATTAAAAAAATAACAAATCGAATATCTTTCGGTTTCTTAAGGTTGGTTAAAAAGTAGGCATTATGCGAAATTGCTTAATTTGTTGTCATCTAACGCCAGAGTTATTATGTAAATTATTTTTTATTGTCTCATTTTGAATTTCGAGAGATTGTGCTCTAAATTTTGTATTGAACAGATGCATTTTTTCTATAGTAGAACAAGATATGTCAATATTAGTTCGCAGTATTGTTGGCAAATAAGCGAAATCCAACACTGTACAAAATTAATTCATACAAACTACTTTGAACAACCTACGTTAATGTAATTGCTTGTGTACTTTCTAGAAAAGCTTATTGGAATTCAAAGTGGAAACTTCAATCAAATTTCCACGAAGTCAATTCCAACTGTATTCAGCGTAAAGTTTTATTCAATTTCTCGATAACTATAGTTGATTAACTTTATTGTTATCTAATATATTATTTGCTTGCGAAATTTTTTATTTTTGTTAATTTATTTGCTAGAGTTAGGTTAGTTTCTCATTGAATATAAAAGAAAACTTAACTATAAATAATTTTAAAGAAATACCTCCAATAACTAGTGAACAAACAATAACAAAATCATTGCCAGCTATGCCTTTGCTAGACATGAAAATTGTATACATAGTATATAGTCGTTAAATCATTAATACTTTTAGCGCTAAGCGAATCATAGAAGCATCTGTATAAACGGAAGAGTTATTAATTATCGTTAAATCCTATTAACTTGTACGTATTGTCTGAATGTCGTTAATTTTTTGACATTGCTTTTGCGATCTGCGTGCAAGCGATTTTAATATAACTACGTACGTTAGGTTTTACTATGAATCGAATGCGGCTATAGAGAAATCGACGACTCCACCATTCGTATTTTGGAAATAGTAATAAGGATTTTGTCATATTCTTATTCTAAATGCTGCAGGCTGTATTATATTGATTAATATTAATGAAAAATACTAATAACATTGATTTGTTACAGTATTGGCTATGTGTCGTCTCATTACTTTTGTCCGGAATATTTTTCGCCGTTATCAACTTGTACTGGAAGAAAGGTGAGTTTATTTAAGCGATTACTTGCTAAAATAGGCTGAATCATATTTATATTTTAATTGGTTTTCCTTAAATACTATGGATTTTACGTATTTCGTAAGGTGATTCATGTATGACTAATACCAAGAAATTTCTTAAGAACTTTAATGTTGAGAAAAAGAAATTTGTTGATGAGATGCCCAAGTTTTTATAAAGGAATTCTTTATGTCTCAAATAATAAAATACAAGGTGAACATAAACTTCCAATTTCAAATTCTTCGTTTTATTTTATTTTTGTTATATCTCTTAAAAATATTGATAACCCCGTTGTTAAACATTAAAAATATACATGGAGAAAGAGATTTTAACTCTATTTTACTGAACTAATTCCGATCTGCTTATAGAAAAATTGCTGTACAAACTTAAAAAATAAAAATATTATATTCTGAAAACTTACAAAAATATGTTTACATATTTTTCAATTATTGATTGAGAATGCTAATTCGATATTTTGTAGTTGTATGTATAATGGTCTTTTCTTATACAGAATGTATGGAAATTAAAAAGTACAAATAAAAAATTTCAGTTTTGACAATCTTCGGTACTAGTGTGTATGGCGGCGCTGTCATCGCTACATCTCTAGATTATTTTGTTGAAAGAATGGTTATGCTTAAATGGGTAAGTGTTGTTTATTTATAATATATATAATAAAGATATTATTAACTATAAAGAAATATGTATTTTACAGTCAGGTGAGGGAAAATTCTTGTTTTATTAGGAAGTTATTGTTACGCTTGAAGTACAAATGCAATATTCAAGAGTTAATCTAATAAATAAATTAAATAATTGTTTTGCTGGTTTTGATCATGTACTTCACTATATACTGTAAAGTTAAAAAAACTCTTTCGAAATATACAACATTCTTCATATTAATGTTGATGACTGAGTATGTGACGTACTTTGTTTAAGTTACGGTAAAGTTCACATGTTGATGATTTTTTGTCCCAAAATCAATATTTTTTATAAAAAAATTATATAATACATATGTATATATACTACATACTTAAATTAGAAACGACTACCGAAGTCTATGTAGTCATTGACCTTTGATTAAAAATAAAAAAATATTTTTCCCAGCTGTGGGAGCGTGCAAAGCTGGAGCCAACTGTGCCACCCCCTTGTACAATATCGTGGTTCACTTTAGCTGCTTGGCCGACCGTCGCCATTGTCGGTTTCACTGCACAATATGCTCTCACAGGCACCGGAATATATCACGAACAGAGTGAGTATTTTTTTTTTATAGATCGGGGCAAACGGGCAGAAAGCTCACCTGATACTCTCAAAGCCACAGGGCTCGTGTATTGCCGGCCTTTTACGAATCGGTACGTTCTTTTCTTGAAGGACTTGAGGCTAACTTGTGGAACGACAGACGTCGAGGTGTTATGGGTGGAATTTCATATTCTGCCTCGACCGATGATCTTTAAGCATGCTGAATTATATTTATCAGTTTGTCTAAAAGCCCATTAAAGTTTTTCATGATCAAAATATATATTTTTTTTTATTTATAAAGATGAGTTTTTTTACTTTTGTATCATCTTTGAAAGCGTCGGACTTGTTTTAACGTTAACTGTCACCGCGAGCAGTTGCCACCGTGATCCAAAATATTTTGAAGCGTTAGCATTTCGTATGCAGATCTTCACGAAAGTTGAAATTGAAATATTTACCAAAAGTTTATATTTTACAAGTATCAGCTATTTTATTTAAGTAATAATATATACCAACTTGCTTGTGTATCGATTTTTTAATAAGAAAGGGACCTCGTGAATTACTTTTTTTAACTTGGTTCACGAGGTATGGTATGCATGCGCGCCATTAGAGATTGCCGCATACCTGATACCGCAATTACTTCAGCGGACGATGAATGGTTCTCAGTCGCTGTACTCACTAAAAGTTTTAGGTGCCATCCCCTCACTATTAGACTGGTAACGGTGAGACTATATCCCGTTTGACTTGTCTCTTTGTTTATTGTTCGTTCGATTTAGCATCTTGACGTCCACTGCTGCACATAGGCCTCTCCCCTGATCTACCAGTACGACCGGTTCCCTTGCGCTCTGCACCCAAGCCAACCACACAATCTCACCACGTCATCTGTACACCAAGTGGGAGGCCGTCCAACGCTTCGCTGAATGGTCCTTGGCCGCTATTCCAGGCCTATTTTCCCCCATACGTTCTTCGGGCAATATCCTCGGCGCATTGCCATTATTACACGCCCTTTTTGCTATGCCAGTGAATTTAATACATATACGGATCTCTTCATTTCTAATTCGATCACGTAGAGAAACACTGAGCATAGCCATCTCCATAGTTTGTTGAGCGACGCAGAGCTTGTGAACCAGGCTTGAAGTAAGACCAAATCTCAGAGCAGTAAGTCATCATTGTTAGGACGCATTGTTCTAATACTTTTGACTTTAAGCATTGATGGAGCGAAGTCGCTGAAAAGACACTTTAATTTACCCCTTCTCAAAGTCGTATCTGCCTAATTGTATATAAGGGCCTAGGTAAACGTATCTACCTAGAGAATTCATAAGACCCTCCGTGTCCGTTGAGAGTTTCTGCAAAGTTTTTTAGACCGTAGCCAGGGCTATCAGGGCTGACGGGAACTGGGGGCCTTCGTATTTTGTTGTACTGTTCATATTGGTGAGGTATGTTGCTAATACTCGCGAGTACAGTGTATGTTGAAAAAAAATGATACCTTAGTCGCCTTCTATGACATGCTCGGGTAGAGACGGGGTTGTGCTATTCTTAGCCGGCACTCCATGGCTGTTTGTTTCATAAATCATGAGATATAAAGTATTTATATCTCAAAATAAATTATTTATTGTTAATAATCTGAATTGAGTACATACAATACTTGATTTTATTTTTATTTTGAATGCACGACGTATTCAAAATGCTATTTATTGTGTCGGTAAATTTTGGTGACAGCAGAGTTCTATCTTTCGAGTGAGTCTAGGGTCTATATCCTAATTCGTATATCAAGTCACAATGTCGTCTTTAGCGTTGTCAAGTATGTCAAACTTCATATAGAATAAATGGTTTGACAGCTCTTGAAGCTCAGACTTTAATTTTGATTGACGTTCTAGAATACGTACTTAAGAGAGAGAGAAACAGAATTGTTAATAACTTGAATTTTGTTTATGTAGAAGACACAATGTTTTAGCGTATGCCATAATGCAATTTGTTTTGCAATATTATTGGTTTAATGATGTAAGTTATTTTTACTATTTATAAGTAATTTATATATTTACAGGCATAAGCGCACAAAAGCGCCATCTCAAGGCACAGCCGGCTAGACCAGTCACACGCGAACAACGCGCAGAGATGAAACAGCGCAAATATCGTTACCTCTATCAGGTGCGGACTGCACACGGCGATGTCATTTCACAGGTAAAGATTTTGGTTATCTATAAAATACCGATCGTTATATGAAGCTGGTTGCGATTCCTAATCCTATCGTCAGGTTTTTCTTTGTATGGGCAGGGGGATCATTGTGACGCAAGCTTCTTAAATGTCAGGTGCACTCTAATCAATTCACTCGATAAATCAATAATTGAGACACGATATTTATGCCCCACGCCCCATTGTAGTGTGACGAGAATATAATAATGGAAAGAAGATGCTTTGCTCTTATTATTACAAATTTAACTATTTAAATAGAGACCAAGAAGCATCATTTAAGCTATTCGAGAATAACATTAACTTTACCTATTATTTGGTTTACATATTTACTATTTATTTACAGCCATGGATGGCCATACATGGCCAAAATTCAATATAAAATATTATAAAACTATTATGTAATTAAGCCGCCTTCACAAAATCCGCAGAAAACCGTTTGCTATCCATTAATACTCTCTATGTATACATACATACATACATACATAAACATAGTATAATTCGCTTCACAAGTAGGCCGCTTTCGGGCGAAGAGTCGAGTAAACTATGAAGCTAGCGAGGGTATCCGGGGACTTGTTGACGCAGAGTACATCCCGGTCCTTATAGCGGTCTAGCACACACAAAATGTGACATATCTAAAGGCCGTCACTTATAAGTCTAAGTCAAGTCTAAGCTAGTAGACCTTACAAGTCCAAATTTGAAGACTTGCTGGTTATATTTTTTGACTATTTGTCTTTCAGTCATACGTACAAGCATTGCAAAAGAAGGCTCAATGTGGTATTTGGACGGGTAGCGGTGGTGGCGAATGTAGTACGCTGCAAAGTGATTCTACACACCTTACAGTATTGGCTGGCTCGGAACAAGCCCCGCCCACTGATTCTGACGACGATCTTGAACAGATTCGAGCGGCGCACTAGATTTGGTAAGTATTAAGCGCAGAAACATGTAAATAATAATGTATGTACATACATATACTATGTACTTTTGTGATCTATTATTACAACAATTACTTAGACGATTGCGCGAATTAGTTCTAAATCTGGCCATGGACACCTAAATCCGGTTCGCAAGTGCGTTGCCGGCCTTTAATTTGCATTGGTAAATGGGCTATAGCACGGCACGAAAATGTTTCAATTTAAACCAGATCAAGGGACCAAGAGATCGATCTTGAGATTTATGTACACTTTGTATGTGCTTTCTATGACTGTATATTTCATGTATTATGTGAAACGTTAATTTATTTTATTTCTTTTAGGTAACTCACAGACGATCTCCATAGGAATGTATTTTTCTTATTCCAGTATTATCTTAGTGAATTTCAAACGTATATATGTTATTAGAATTCTCCTATATGAATTTATTATTGTAAGTAATGTGATAATGTATATATTTAGGTTTTTATTTAGGCCTCAATTTTATTTTTACAATATTAATTTTTTTCTAATTTCTTTATATAATTTCGCGACAGCAATTTAAGTGCGGATAAATTCTTTTGAAATTTTTGACACCATTCAAATTTATTTTATTACATTAACATTTTTAACAGATTTGAATCTGTGTGGAAATAAAACCGTCGTGGTAACCATTTTTCACTATATTGTTACGTCATTATAGTTTGACTTGATACTTAATATGAAAAAAATTGTTTTGTGATTAATTTTAATGACGTACGGAAAATAATTATATTAGTTTCATTTCTCAGACTTCGCTAGATTATTCTAGTAATATATATAATAAGTAATAGTCGACTTTCGTGTAAATAGAAGAGTCATTACTAAAGATTTTCGACCGCCTAAATAATCTTTTACGACTCTTAACCACAGTTCAACACATTTTTATTGTTAGAACAAAGAGTACAATACAATATTTGGTTAACACTGCCAATAGTATAACGAAATATAAATAATGATTTCGGCTTTAAAATTATGCAATGTTTTCTCATTCATAACTGTATTTTTACAGAGAATTTTTTGATAATTTATTGCCTATAATGCATTTTTTATTATGTACATATATGAACTTGGAAATCACCATTGATTTTTATGATGAATGAAGAATCAGTTTGTTAAAGCATAAACATCGCGTATTTGCATTCTAAATCATTTCAATTTATCAAAAAAGTACAGTATTTAGGTTTAAAATGTTTCGGTTGACGTTGTAGGTAAGAATCACGAGTCAAATTATGACTTCCATATGTCAAAATTCAATAGACAGTGTTTTTAGTTTGTGTTAATTTTCCCGACGCTTGTGGTGCGGGAACCTAATTTATTCACAACATAAACATAAACAGTCCCTTAGGACTGGCGTAGCCACTTATCCAATAATATTACTAGTATTCATAGACGAATGGGGGCCTGTCGTCACGCGAGTCCCGCTTCTACGCTTTTGTTAATAAAGGAGTATTTAGAGAGTCCAAATCTTATCCCTTTCGTCAGAAGCTTTGTTAAATATGATTATGGAGTATGTGTTGTAATTTTTGAGATATGTAACCGTACATTTTTTCTGGTGTTGTGATTGTGGATTTGATTGAGCCTAGCTCGTATTTGCAGTTTAAGTTCACAATGGGTAACGTTGATTAAAGTCGTCACTGTTAATACAATTGGAAGTAAAATTAATACTTTGGCTATACTAAAAAAATTAAACATTGCCCTACAATCAGCAATTTACATACTATCAAAGTTACCCAACTGTAAGAGCATTATGTGAAAGAATACGAATTTCTTGCCTCATTTTCTATTTATGTATTTTTTTATTAAAAGTAGCACAATGTGATTGTGATTGACGACCTTGTGAAGGGTATAGTGTAGTACTAACAATAAAATGTTACGTAATGTAAGAGAACGCTCTATTTTTCATGTTTAGCGTAACTCGAAAGGTTTGCTGGTTTCCATATTTTTTCTAACTGGAAATATCGGATTTATAATAGTTATGGATTCCAGAATATTTTCGATGGTAAGCATATTTTATTACAATGTTACGTACGCTGCTCAAACTGAGAGAATCACTAGTTTCTTAGTGATATGTTTATTTTTGGCCAAAGTTTATTTTAGTTATTATTGGGCTAAGAGCACAATTGTTTTAATTTAAGAATATTTACTATTTTCGCTTATTACACTTGAATATAAACGCTTCTTAAACATTCCTTTATACACGAATATATTGTTATGTATGGCCCTAGTGTATATCAATGGAGAGTCGGTAAAATTAAGGTGTAATATAATGCATAATAATTCGTATGTTAAGCATGGATTAGTAGATTTTGTCTATGTTCACCCAGTTCCATATAATCGCTCAATATCTAGTCCTACTGATTTATTAAATCTAAGCAACATAATACTTTATCTATTCAGACAATTATATTTCTCATAATCGTTAATGTGTAAAAAAATTATTTAAATATAACTTATTTTGTTTATGATTCAAGGTGTTTAGAAGAATTTGTTTTTGAATTTAATTCTTAACAATTAATCTGTCTAAAAAAATATAATTTATTAATGTAGGTAACTTATGTATGTACGTTTATAAACGTCAATAAGAAATTTAATCTGAAATTATCATTTACTACCAGTTCTCTACTTAAAGCCGTAGAACGGACGAGAAGAACTGCCACTCACTCTTTTCAATAGTCAGATTTTTTACAAAATGTTTGTATGAAGATTCTAGAATCTTTATCAAGCAGTATGAGATAAGGCGTTAACAGCAAACTTTTCCCAACTAAGGGGCATGCCAAATCAAATCAAAATGTATTTTTAATATTGGTAACAATGTTATGTCTCTGGCATAAACGACGATAGTGACGTTCAAAAATAAGTAATTTTACCGGTTTTTTGAGTAAATGAAAACAAAATCGGGTTTAAGACGATGTCCTGTAATTAATAAGTACTAAATTTGTATTTATTTTCTGTTATATTGGCACATTTCATGAGCGCTTTGATTGTAGGGTAGTCCCATTATAGTAAAGTAAGGTAGAACTTTATCTGTTTTAGTTTTACATTAAAACATTTTATTAACATTTAAAGCGTTGACTTATATTTGTCTATATTTTTTTATTTAAAAAATATATATATTTATATATAAACCTTTTTTGCGTGATTCCTAAACAGTTGAACGGATTTTTGATGATATTTTTTGTTTGAATTTTTATTTTAAGACGTGTTTACACTACGTCCGTCGGGTAAATTTGTTCTCATCGCGTAGTAGGGCCATGCAGTCACATGCATCACATTTTCTACAATGTTCAATTCGGCTTTCCGGCATATGTGGACTAGACTACATCTCAGCGAACATGAAACTTTTTTGTTGGTAATTAGCATATTTTTATTTTCATTGTACTGGCCTTGGTTCTATGTATATTAAATTTTTATGGACATTCACACATGTTTATTTATGAATAGGTGATTTTATTTTATGTTATACATTTTTATTTGTATTTGTTTTTGCAAATTTAATATAGTTTTATTTTATTTTTTCGTTTTATTTCGTTACGTTATCCTTCGTACCGTTAGGTTACAACGCATTTAGTATATTCATACAAAATAAATTATGTTCCGATATATTAAGCCATTTTTTACTTATTTATGAATTATTTTTTTAAATAGTTGTTCATAATTTCTGGTTTTATTAATTATACAGTTGTTAATTCAGTAAATTTAGATCTAGATTATAGATATAAGATTATAGTCACTGCCAAGGTAATTATTATAATCTTAAAACTCTTTCCGTGATAGAGAAACCGTCGTTTTTTCAATAGACGTCTGAAATTTGTATTGATTTTTACTATTTTGCCAACCGGGCATTGACCAAATTGACTTGATTGGATGTAATTTAAATTAGTGTAGATTTGTGTTATATTGTTAATATATGGTAGGGCTTGCAGCCGCCAGAGTCATCCCTAGAGTTAATGGTCAAAACTCGCTAGATGAACATTTATTTACGCTTATGGTAAAACCTTTAGCTAACGAAGGGCGTAATCTAAAAAGGTTTAACACTTCCATAACATTCAATAATATGTTAGCTAAGATGCACCGTTGATACCATTAGAGACTTTAATCTACCATTAGAGACTCAGGACAACTCTGCGGCTGTCTATGTCCTTTTTTGTATATAATAGTTATTATTGGCATTCACCAGTGCACAGTGATGTAATTCACTTCGAACGATAATGATGTAGCATGCAATTGCTTCATCATATACATGTATTTAAATAATATTAATGTCGCTTTATGTAGAACTTGTGTATTCCATTTAATGTGTAGAAAATGCAGAGGTATGTTACTGTAGAAGAAATCCCAGTTTCAAGCAAATACGTTAGGAGCGTCATTAAAGCGACCAGGCTGGTTAAAGTTGTTCAGTCCTTGAAGCCATATTTAAAATGCTAAAATTGGTGTAAATATCTTATAATATCGTAAAATCTGGCTTTATTTTAAATAGCTGTTTTGTGTTTAGCTGGTACGTCACCATTAATATTGATTTACGATTTATGTAATAATGATTACAGAAAAGATAATGCTTTTATATATCTGTATTATTAGCACACACAATTGGTTAGTCCAATATATACAAATATTCGATTCAGTGTTTTTTAATTGTCAATAAATAGTATTACAATTATGAACTTCATGGTTGACCTTTTAGATTTAAATACACAGCTGCTTATGTCGTTAATACAATATATATCAATTTGTCTATATATATATTTGAATATATATATATAGAAGTGCTAAGGATACAGCCTATTGTAGTTAATAACTAGTATCCACTATATTTAACCAATAATTGTTCAATAACAATGACTTGTTTCCGATTAATATATTAAACTTAAACATAATACAACATCAATCAGTATGCCAAGCTGAAAAGGTTACAACAAATATACGATATACAGTGAATATATAAAGCGATAATTCTTAAATTTGGCTTAAACATATCATTTTCAGCTTGATTTACTGATCCATTAGCATAGTAAATAATGGACATATAGAAGCATATAATTTTAATAATTTCTTAATTACGGAAAGAATAGATGTTAAAATGTTACAAATAATTTGGAGTAGTGAAAGCGAATTGTTTAGACTTAATGCATATTTTTATATAAATTAGGAATAACGGTCTATTTTATGGAGTTTGGACTTTGGGGTGTGTAGGAAGGTCAGAATTTAGTGAGTGCGATCCAACGTTCATAAAATTATAGCATTTAAAATGGCAAGCCTTCATGAGATTTGTATTGTAGATTGGATTATTAAAGGATACGAGTTTTGATTTACGTAATAATAGTCGATAAGGTTATTATATATTTTTCAAAATTATGGTGGTATAGTTCGGGCGCGCGGTGTGTCAATAGCAGTAGAGACTTTAATTTACTATTACGGTTACGTTATATACGGTTTTTGCCTTTAATAGCACAAACATTCGTTATAAAAGAGGGTTGTCAATTTTACTACTTGTTGTGGGAATTGTATAATGTTTGATGTCATGATTTATTTAGATAACCAAGCGTGCGTGTGCGTGCTCGTTCGTTAGTGTATTTTGTTCACAAATTTTACGGAAGCTTCACATATCGTACGTACATCATATCGTACGTAAATACCTTTTTGAATTACATACTTAGGTAACTGTCCGTCAATCCAATTAATTAAAAACAGTAAAGATTTATAAGTAAGTGTTTAAAAGTTTCGTAGGTAAATAATATCGACAGGTATTTGAAATCGTATTTTTTTTTATTAAAATTATTTCCTGTTTCCGTAGTACATACAACTACGTATTCTTCTTCCCTTGGCTATTACTATAAGAATATATTCTTCGTGTAGAGCTTACATTTTTTTAAAGCATACCCACGAAGCACTTATGAACTTTTCATACAAAAATGTATGATTATTTTTCTGCTATTTATAATTAGATTGTATATAATTCGTGCTAAGGATGCTGGACACTGGTCCATTGTCTCCTAGCTGACGACTTTCACGATAAATGTAATTTATATTTGTAATAGGAAACATGATGTAGAAATGGATCTTTTAAGTGTCAGAATATGTTGATAAAACTTTAAGCTTCGTAATAAAAACATAATTTTCATAACTTACTGTATGGTCTTAAGTTTTATGTTAGGGAATATGCTTCGATTTATTAAAAAATATACAAGTGGTCGCTTAGCGCCACGTCCTTTGAAAATTGCATTTTAGCTGGATAAAATAATACAAAATATACAAACCTTATTTTAGTAGAGTTTGTCATAGCTACCTGGCGAGTGTAATAATCAGAATTAAGTATATAATTAATTGACGTCGTCGAAGCAGCGATGAAGATCGAATAAATTCAATTATAAATTCAATGTTCAATTAAGATAATTCATGAAATTTAAATTAAAAAAGTTTTCTAGATGCATATTCCCTTATAACACCGTTATTGAGTATTTATTTAACGCTTGGATGTATGTTGGTCCATAGGGACAAAATTAGTATTAATATGATACCGGCCAAAGTTTGTTACAAAAATTGTTTCATATGAACATTCTAAATTGTGAACGTTTTCCTGTTATTATTAATAATAATAGACAGTAGCCAAATAATTGCATTTCCTATTTTTGCGTTCGTATTTTGGTGATGTAAAAAAAAACGTAATTGTATCATTTATGTCTTCATTATGTATTTAAACTAAAAGTTATATCTGGCTATATAAAGCTATAAAGTGGTAAGATAAACATAATTACACCCATTATGTGTAGATATGGGGTTAATGGTAAGCTTAAATGTTATTTTATAGTATTATATGTATCTTTCAGTAAACGTACAATACACTATGAACGATGTTTTATTTCATACCTTGTCGTAAATAGGAAGTGATTAATTATTAATTTGAAATTCTGCCCCACTTTGAAGCAAAATCTGATATAGATACCAGGCTGTCTACGATCTAAAATCGCGTAATTTAGGGAAAAAGATAGATAAAACATAAGGCACAACGCATACAGTATCTGCCCAGTGACTCGTTGGAGCTTTGTTACACTAAAGTAAGATTTATTACTTTTAACTAAATATCTGCTAAAGATGACTGCATTTGTCTCGAATTTAATGCAAAAATTTACCTTTAAATTGGATGCAGGACATTCGATACATGCAAGGCGTTGCCAGGACACACGATACATGCCCGACCGCAACATTAGGCAGGTTTCGGCGCTTGTGCTTTCCGTATTGATCCAGGTAGCTTTCGGGGTTGAAAGCTTTAAGCTAGACTCCTTAATCCATTTTTAACGAAACAGTAAAACTAACTGCAAAAGTTTATCAAGGATATTTTCACTAAAAGCTGGAATTTATATCCTAAATGTACCAGGGTGATATCACTGGACAGAAGATAATTAGGGAAACGGATTTTATGTTTTTTTTAAATTTATGGTTAAAATATTTCATGTGCTTCATGGAATATTGGATATTATGATTTGTAATTGAGGTAAAAAAATAAAATCACTAGACTAGACTTACAGACTAGGGCGTTGTAAAACATAACAAACTTACGGGCTTAAGCCCATAAAATAAGGTCTTAACTTAAGCCTCAAAAGCAAAGAACGTTTTTTATTGCTAAACTGTTACAGAGTGCTAAGGACATGTCTTTCAATATCTTGTACCTAAGCGGGGCTTTAAGTGTGTTTTAATAAATATGTGTGTCTCGCAGTCTATTTCTTTATTTGAAAATAATTCATACAATCATAAGAACAATAACTATATGATTCATCATTTTATTACACAAAATACTTTGGTTTATGAAAAGATATTACAATCTTAATTTACATTACGACGCACTACTTAATCTTCTACTACTTAAATAATATTTTTAAGCTAATATAAGTTTATTTACATGTGTATGTACTCATATAGTCCTTCTGAATAAAATGTATGTTACATTAATTTCAGAAGGGGTTTTACATGCCTTCTATAGATTGATATAAATTAACATAGTTATCACTTTGCGTTCACGTGCAGTCAAGTTTTTATTTACAATCATTAATTAGATTTGAATGGTGTTTTTAAGCAGAGAAACGATAACAAATATTTTAATTTAAAAACATGTGTCTGGCGTACTCTATTTATTATTTCTATACTTATATTAAGTATGTAGAATGAGTAGACTCATTATTATAAAATAAAGAATACGCGTAACTGCAATATAATTAAGTAAATGCTTCTTATTGGCTTTCGGATTTTAAATCAGCCGCACTATAATGTTATAATTCATTTGTAAGATATTATATTTTTGTAAATATAAATTCATAATAACATATATATATATATATATAGGCTTGCGTGTAGTAAGACTCTTAATTAAAAGAACTGCAGTTAATTATTAAGTTGCATATAGTTTCTATTACATACATTTCTCCGCAAATTAAATGTATAAATAACAAAAGTATTAAATGCAACAAGAACTAACATTAAGTTTATATACAAGAAGTTATTTCTTCAACGTAAGATGAGGGAAATATGCCGAAGGTACCATTGAGATCCCCACTCCACCAGACGCCGTCTTGTTTTTCGTATATGTTTATAATATCACCTGCGAAAGATATATTTGTCAAAAAGCACGGAATCTTTATAGAGCTGTCACACCCGCAGGCATGACAAAAGAATAACAGAAGCAGAATTTTCACTTGCAATGCTATTACATAATTTTTTTTCTCACTAATCTAACAATAGAGGGCGCCTCACATCAATCAATGTGACATTAGGATAAAAAACTTACAACTAGCCGGATAATTTTGTGACATTTTATAAAATTACCTATCGAGACGTCGAGAGTAGTTTCTTATTTCTTAAGAATATAGAATACTTAAATATCTCAGTATACTTTTCTGCCCGTTTTTTTAGTCGATATTTTTGAAATTTATGTTTTAAAATCTTAAAGTTTAATAACTTTTTTTTCTTACCTGGTGCTAATGTAAGTTCGTCGTTTAACCTTGCCTCATATGTATAAAGTGCTCTACACTTTCCAATAAACTTTTGAGGAGTTACATCATTACCGTCATTTTTGTCTAAGCAATTTAAATCTGTTGAACTATCGCTCTGCGACGAGAATTCATCTGTAACAAAAAAATAAATGGATCTAGAGAAAGAAAATCTTAATAAACTTATCATCTTGGGTCACTCAACTCTTGAGTGGCCATTGACCGTTTGAACAATAAAATTAAATCGTTTTAAAATTCTTAAAGACTTAAATCCAGGACCTTAGATATAATTACACAAATGCCACTAAGCGTGACGTAAGTTATAAAGAGACTGAGTAAAATTTATTTTTGAAGTGATACTTCATTTGGCGCGTTAGGGAAAAATATTGAGAGTAAATATTTACGATGCGCGCGCACACCGTCACAAAAAACCGACACCCTGAAGTTAGCTAAAGTCAACATTATACTTTTTTCTAATGTTAGTGTCGTTTTTTCTACAAACGTAGAATAAAATTTTTGTAAAGATTTTTATCTTGTTACGCCAAAGAAGTATAACTTCTAACGCGTGTACATAAGTACACACACTTTTTTTTTTTGAAACTATTACAAAACATTAAAATTTACCGAAATCGCTATCGTGTTGGTTAGATAGACCATCGCCCGCGCCGCGTTCACTCCAATCCAGTGGGCTATCAGGTGGCGGTGGCGCTTCAGGAGTGGGAGGGGGCTTGGCAGTTGGTGACGGAAGTTCCGAACTTATGGGTGTCGTAGGAGCACTCTTATGTTCCGTGTTCCTCCTAAACGATAAGTGTTCTATCCTTAGTTTGCTAGAAGCGCGACTCATTATCGAATCTCTTCTTTCTCTCTCCTCCCCCCCATTTACACTCTTTGAAAGAGCTGTGTAACTTGGTTGGAGATTTTTGTTCACCTCGTTTTGATAATCAGTTTGAAGCCATGGCGGCACCTGAGAAAAGCACGTCAAAATTAGAAGAGGAATCACATATTCCAAATAGGTATAAAAGCATATTTTTTTGATCTTTTAAAACTACCAAGGCTCAACTATACTTTAAGAGTAAGCATAGTATATCTATGTGGCTGATTATTCTCTTACTAGCATTTTTGTAAATATTTAATATGAAATTTTCGTACTCAAAAGTCAAAAGAATGGTAGTATTTATTCGTGTTTAGCACTATTGTACATTCATGTTAGAAGCCATAAATGAAACGTACGACATTCTTTAAAACAGATTCTACATATTCTTAGGGGTTTATAGGTTCAAATCTTATTATTGCCCCAGTTTCTACAATCTAAAGTAAAATATTACTTACTTTAAGTATGCTCTGTTGTAATCCCTGCTTGTCTCTTACAACTTGTATGTGTGCTGCCAAGGGATGTTGAACTGCGGTTCGATTGTCTATTTCACTTAACGTTGACGTAATTTTGTATCTTATCGCCTCTAAGTATGTCAACATTGCTCTCATCTGAAAAAATAAGAGTTCAATTTTGAATAATAACATCTCAATTGTATAATCATAGATTATATTAAGAAACATTGTTGGAATTACGTAAAACGCATAGCCAGGTAAGTTGTTATTTAAAGACTTAAAAATATTGCAAGCATTATTAACTAATGTGAACCTAATAAATTTTAAATATTTCGCAAACATTTTGGAATCTTTTGAGTCGGTAAGTACAATAAAGATCTTATATAACAGTCATTATCAAGTTTCGCATTAACGTGATTCATTCGTTTACAAGGTATATTGAAACAATGATAACTTACGTGGTACAATTTATCAGCAACATTTTGCTGGGAATCGTCATTACCAAATGTCGGTGTCTGTTTCATCGCCATGGATAGTTTCTCAAGACCTTGCATTGATTTTCGTTCTCTTTCGATATCTTGTTTCACCAGTTGCAGTATTTTCAGTAATGCCTAAAAGACGCCACTTTTAATATTTGTTTTTCGTAAATATTTTTTTATAGAATAGGTGCATCTCGGGCAGGAGACTCATCTGTTGTTAAGTGATTCCGCCTCCCATGGATAGGTACCCAATGCCAGAATGTGCGTTGCCGGCCTTCTAAGAATTGGTACGCTCTTTTCTTGAAGGACCCTAAGTCGAATTGGTTCAGAAATACTTCAGTAGGCAGCTGGTTCCACACAGTGATGCGCGGCAGAAACTGCCTGTAAAACGCTCAGTTGTGGAACGGCGGACGTCGAGGTGATTTAGAGATTTCATATTTTGCCTCGACGTCCGAAAAACTGCTCTGAACACTCTCAGTGGAAAATTACTTAGGTCTGCATCAATGTCTGCTTGTCATGACAACTTATACAAAAGTTGTTACACATCTTTATTGAACCTAAATTGGCGTTCTAGAAGTTGGAATTTGACCCTTATAATCTATAAACTACATCAGATCCACCACCACACCACCACAGAAGATCGAAAGTTATCATAAGATAAACGCGAGCAGTGACAGTCTATTGTTAGCCGACACTTAGGACAATGTACTGACATTGCCGTAATTTCAAGGGTAATTACATAACAGTGATGCGTACTTGTTTACGACGTTCTCGATTCATTGCCAATGTTGTGTGCTCGCAGTAAAAGTCAGGTAGTAATTGCTCACTAGCGCCGGCAGGTGCAGAGCGAACGCCGCGTACCACTCTCATATCCAAATTAGCGTTAGCATTATTTATTGGTCCCACTAAAGTATTCGTTGCCTGGGAAAAAGTTACACAATCAGATTTGAACGGCCATTAAAATTTCTCCTAATTACGCTGATATAACGCTCACCTCAGCTAATTGTGGCGGAACCGCGGCCGTCAGCCTAAGATAACAATCTGCTGAGCTCTTTAACTGCGCGAGTCTCTCTTCTTCGAGAGATTCTAGCATACCTGCTCCCTTCACGACACTCGTCTCCCATTCTAGCCTAAATAATCGTGTAATTAGAATACTACAATTGCAACAAATAGTTACCAGATTTAGTTGTTTAATGAGATACCTTGCTCGTTCTGCTTGTACACAAACATTATAATACTCCGCTTCAGTCTTTTTTACGGCGTCCTCAGTCTTCCGTTTTTTGACTTGCATTTTGGCTGCATCTCGTTCGTTTGCTGAATTAGAGATACGTTCTGCTCGAGCAGCGCTGAGGATAGAATGCGGAATGTGACCCATACTTGAACTGCGCGAAATGCGGCTGTGAACAGATAAAAAATAAACTTCTGTCCTCATCGCCCCTATGGCAACAATCGCATTGCTAGCATATTATTATCGCGTAGCTAATCGCAGAGCAAATCGAAGGATCCTTCAGAGTCGCCAGAGACATACGATATTATAAACTAGATCAATAAAAATAAAGATATCGCATGTCTCGACGATTTTTGACGATATCAATGCGAACCTAATCTCGAGAGAAGAATCTTGGAGTTTCTCGTTTTCTCTTGCGGCGGCGTGAGACTGCCTCTTTGATTTTACTTCTGCTGATCTCCAATCTGATAGGCTACGAGTTGTTTTATCCACGTTGCCTTCGATCTGAAAAAATGAGTATTATTTAGGTCCTTTATATCCTAGTTGTAACGTAGGCATTTACACTTTTATATACCTTTTTTCTTAATTTTAATTGATTATCGATTACATTTTTCATCGGTTTGACTAGTTCTTCTGCTAGCGCACTGGAGTAATTCCTGTAAACAATTAAAAATATTAATACATGTATACTAAGACTAAACAGTGCATATCATTATGCAAATACCTATGTATATCGGCGCGTTTCTCCATTTCCATTGCAACATGTTTCCATGCATCTGCACAAGAGCCTACGCTCTCCTTGCACGCTTTGCTTAACTTCGTGCCGAGTTTTGTTAAGCATTTTGAATAATAATTCTCAGCTTCAACCCTGTAACACATTATTCCATAACTAGCTTTCTTCGAAATGAGTTATCGTAAAAAGATTGCGGAAGAGCTAATAACAAATATAACCGCCATGGCGTAACGACTAAGTTTTTATGGATGTTACATAGCTGCGGTTGTGTAAAGTGCAAAATGTTAATATCTTATCTAAGGTTATTGTGTTGATAGAGATGAAGTCTCGGAGTTATTTATGTTCTCTATTGGCCCACTTGGCTTTACCACGCGACGATCTATTTCTAAATCTGTGACCATTGCCGTAAGCTTAAGTCAAATAATCCACAGTGCGACTATTCCTATCGCATTAATAAATATTTTGTTTTTCTTCTAATTAAAAACTTTAAACAAACAAATTATTGATAAATATGGTAACTTTTATTTAGTACTTAATTACTTGTATAAAAGCGGTTTACTAAACGTTTGTATTACTGCTATTAGTTGTAGCACGCTATATGCAAGGTCGTTAGAAACCTTTAAATAGCACAACTGTTACCGATGTTATCTATCGAATATTACTTACTGAAGAGTCTGTTTGATCTGATTTCGCGACAACTGTTAAGAAATAAACGCGAGAGGTAAACGTTTCTACAATTTCCTTGTTTGAGGTAGGTATGACAAATTAATTTAAGAAATATGTACTAAAATATTTTATACAAACTTAAACTATATTTTATTTATCTTATATACATGGTGTAGTAGACACATTAAATGTAATCATTCCATCGACTAGCTCCCAGAACTAAAAATAAAATGAAAAAATACGAAAATACAAAATTTTTAACTTTAAACGTGATTTTTGTAGTTATACTTCTTTAGGCGCGTTATGAAAACTTGATGAGAGTGAAATTTTGCGATGCGCGCGCACCGTGACACAAAATTAACAGAATGAAGTTGCCCACGGAAGATGCTACGGCATTGGACATAATTTAAAAACAACATTCGAATAATAATAGAATTTATGTTACACTTAATGTTAGAGAATAATAATAAATATTTATTTATTTAATTTTTCAAATGTAAACTGAAGTTTATTGACTATAATGACTCCTTTTCCAGTCTTTGATTATTAAATTGAAATTAATTACTTGCATGCAATCAAAAACTATTAAAAATATTTAATAATGCCAAAGAAGTATAACTTCTTACGCGCGTACATAAGTACACGCACCCTTTTTTTTCTTGATTTTAGTCTTATTTGGAGAAAACATATGTTAGTTAATAGTCAGTTATCTGGCTTGATATGGCAGTTTCTCGTTGTCTACGATTACTCAAACTAAAACGTTGTTTAAATTAGTTTTGTCGATAACTATCAATAATACCTAAATATCAATAATCACAATTTTTATAAAATTAACACCTAAGTCGCGTCCTGCTGCTTTTCTTTCGCGTTCAAAGGGCTGAACTAGACTTTACCTCGGAAACGAATTTACGTATGAAACGGCTTTATAGTCATAAATATGCCGTAAGAATGTCATACATATTGTATTAAGAAAATATGTTTATTTACAATGATACCTATGTTGTGATTATTATTAAAAGATAAGTATCTCCCGTAACGCATTAGAGGCATAGGGCACCTTACCTTTGTTTCATTCACAATAATTGAACTTTATAAGTAATTTGTATGAATACTGTAATTATACATTGTCAATTTTTGGTTTATAATCTACATCAGGATTCGGGACAACACTTAAGTTTACGCAGTCTGTTAAAATAAGCATATCTCGGACACGTTTGCGTCATCATTGACACGACTTGTTGCAGCTTATAATGATGGGCAAAATTCAAGGCGGGCTGGTAAAAGATGTGGTTGCGGAAGGTGCGGTAGTTTACCAGCATCACATCTGCCGAGGAACTGTTCCGATTTGGGCAACATATCCGGGAATTCAAGTTGTTAATAGTCGACCTATAGTAATAAAGTGACACCTGAAGAGGAAGATTCTTAATCAAAGGAGCAAGTGTTAATTGAACACTTAAGAAGAAAAATCTTTTGGTGCACAGTTTGGAACCACCTCAGGCAGAGTCACACGCACGCAAGGTTATTTTAGATAATTTAATAAGTACTCTGTATACACCATATGGTTTCAAGACTTAATAGACAATATAGAATTGGTAAGCGAGCGGCCTTCTAACAAGGTCGGTCCAAATGTAATACATAAAAATACCCACCCTAAAAATCTTTGGAAGCGAAGATTCTTCCTCGTTAAAACGGACTATTCCAGACAAAAAATATTGCTTAATTCTAACCAGTTATTCCCGAACTTGTCAACGAAACCTTCACTTTAGTATTCCTATCTTATATATAATCTTTTATATATAGTAAAATTGTTTACCTTTCTTGCAAAATCGATGCCAACTCTTTGCTGAAATCACTACCTTGCTTCACGTACCGTCGTAACTCGTCAAATCCGTTTTGAGCCTGTAAAAATAGTACTTAGTTTAATAATTTAACTAAACTAAAAGTACAATACGATTATATGCATCATAAATGTCCGGTTTAATATTTAATTGAAGTACCCGAAACGAGATACGATATTGCATCCACATTTCTCCATTTTATTAGGTCATCCCTAAAATCAAACGTGTATACTTTAATTATTTGACAAATAATTAATATATACAACCCAAGCAGTTTTGAACTGATCCCACTAACCCTTCGCACGAAACTGCATGTAACAAAATAATTGTATTTATTTCTTGTAAACGCATTATAATCGCGTGCAATTAATTCTCTAGCTAATTACACCACTTGATCTCCTTTTGTCTTGTGTTTTTATCGATTTCTTTTCATTAACATTTTCAACTAGTAATTTGTTTATTGCTAACCCAGTTTTGTAAGTTTCTAGATCATAGTCATGTTTTTTAATGCGATAAAGTGGTATTTGGCCTTAAGAAGAAGATTGTGAACTGTTGTCATTAATGTGAAAACATTTTCTTTAACAGCGAGAAGAAGAAGAATAATCCAGTGGCACACTATATGTTTTGGCCCCAGTTTGTTTTGCTCTTTGTGCATGACACGTCTTTTTTTGGCTAAGACACCGGTTAAACAAAAATTTAAAAAAATCTATTGGTGCAAGGCTGTTTGATTGCTGACCTCGCTGTAAGATATATAGGTCATTCTTGTTCGGAGCCATGAGCTATTAGAAAGATTATTTAATTTTAGTTTCAATTATCGAGAATTATAACAGTTTTTATTGTATATTTGTGTTATGGTGTAACTTACAATACACTAAAATGATATCTAGTCTAAATCGAAAATCTCAAGAAGAAAACCAAGATCTCTTTCTCTAAACCAATAGGTACATATCTCTTGTACTTATCGCTTGATTAAATAGTTTAAGTTAATGGGATTAATACCAGAGCCTTAGTCGGAGACATCTAATAGAAAATAACTATTATTAGAATCTAAAACTGAAGTGAAACCGAAACAGGAAACATAAAAAAACAGTTTAGATATTCTTTAAATATAATATATAGCATTTCCCCACTGGTGATTAATTATTCAAGTCACAGACCTTTTTAAGTGCTGGTCACGCGCCACGAGTCGCAACACATCGATGGATTAAAAATGATACTAGCATTTTATTAGTTCCAATAGACTTTCTTTAAAATGTAACAAGTCTAACAGGCCACGATTTGAAGTACTTGTACTTTTGCTTTGACTCTATAATTGCGAATACAATACAAACGTAAAGGATAAAAATATAACAGCCGTTTAGTGAATCTCAAAACGCTACACATGTTTTGCAAAATTCTTTCTTGCAAATAAATAAACATAATAAAAGAGTCTTACTGTATTTTCATGAATAGAAACAGCTTGGTGCGGTAAAAATGCAGGCATTATTATCTAATAATGTTGACGAGTGGTTTCAATCATTAAACTTTTCTAAGGAATCAAACATAAAAGTGTCTTTATAACGGAATTAATACCTAATCAACCGTTTTCTCGCGATCTTGTCTAGCAAAAAGGCTGTATTCCCTTACTTTGTAAAGTCGTTTCATAACAGTACAAGTATAGCACGTTTTTAATGGAGCAAAATGAAGGCGGTCTGAAAAGCAAGTGCACGCAATCGGAACGAGATTTCTACTTTTTCTAGTCAGCTTAGATTTCAATTGACTTTTTACTTTGTACTTGAACTTTCTTAGAAACCAAATACAGTGTCATTTTGTTACTCTTATGATGTACATGTAACCAAGAACGTATAACACACGCCTGAAGTCGCGTAAGTCCAATTGGATAAATAATAAGTGGAGCTGGAGATAAATTTTTTATTACCAAAAAAGGTTTTTATTCTCTTTTTGTCATATTTTAGGTCTATGACATTCTGGTTTTCTCATGGTGTTTTCATTTACCAAACGAACAAACGCGGATATAAAAAAGGAATATTCCTCGGTATCCAGCTAACGTGTACGACGTACATATGACCCCAGGGTTGTGAGTCGAATGCTTAATCACTCGGATATTGTGGGGTCTACATTAGTACTCTGTAACTTCCCATAGCAATTGCGTTCCTGACTTCAATTTTGAATTGAATTGGTGCTTTGTATTTAAGATTGTTTTACAATGCAATAAAAAAATTGTAATATTTATGTATAGGTCTCCACAAAATACGTAGTACGTTAATGTCAAATTAAATATATCTCAATAATCAATATCTAAAAATATAACATAGCTACTGAGATAGATGCTCGACTAATTAAGGACATGATTTAGATTTTAGGCAGCAGGGAGCAATGATAGAAATTTTCCCATTTATAACGGACTAATACAAATCTTATAGGTTATTACGACTAAATGACTTAAGTTACTTATACTGAACGACTGTGAGTACTATATAATAGCCGCTCCCCCTTTTATAAGTAAATATATTTATAACTACTTATATTGTGTGTTTGGTCTTCCAATTATTTTGATAGTATCTCAAACTTTCACTAAAGCTAATGATCACGACTTTACAGATATGGGTTAATATTATAACAATAGCATTGTTTTATTGTAGCTCCCGATTTTAATCGCAAAATTACAATATTTATTAAATAAAAAGTACCGGTCTACGAACTAGACAGCCAACTGTTCAATGTATTTTCTATTTCAATGGTTGAGTGACGATAAAGTGCAGATAAAAGCATATGCATAGGTTTGTTGAAATATTATTATTTACATTTCGTAGGTTAGCCGAGAAAAATATGTGTAACATTATAGTGAAATGTCATCGACTTCATCCGTAACATACTTCGGTCTGACACATATGTATATTAAGCCGAGTATAGAACCTACAAGCAGGTAAACGTTTATTTAAACCACGACCACGTGGCTGTTTACCACACTTTTACTGAGATTTCGGCTTAATCCAATAGCCTATTTTCTGAATACTTTCACTATCTAGTCCGGCGATTCGTATTATCTCGAGAACAATCATTTTAATTGTTTCTCTCATTACGTCAACAATGCATCATAAAGTGATGTAAACTCTTACGGGTACAGTATAATAATACTCAGATTTCCTTTGCTTCTTACGTATTACGAATAAAACCGATAAATCTTCAGATATGACATGGTTTTGAATAATTCTCAAGAAGTTAAATTTGTGCCTAAATTATGAAAACATACTTTAAACTCTTTTACTTAAAAGTGATTTAGATTAAAGAGGTTCATCTTTATAAAAGACAATAGTTTTATTTTATTTTATAGAGCAGGGGGCAAACGGGCAGGAGGCTCACCTGTTCTTAAGTAGTTGGTAAGATTATGTTGTTTCAGCAGTGTTGTCAAGTAGGCATTTACAAAACATCCCCGTGTTTAAGTCATCGTTAAATGAACGAAAACGTGTTTCGCAAACCTTGAAATCCTTCAAATAATTATAAACCTTTGCTTTTTAATATTACAGTTTCAATTCTCTTGCACAGTAATCGGACAAATTTATTTAAGTTGCTATTTAAAATACAACCTTAAACTGATCAATCGAGGCTTCATTTTCTAAAGGACGTTTTATACTTCGGATAATGAAGTATGCGACATCAGCACGGATACTATAAGAACTACAAGTTTCGTTTTTGACGAAGTAATCACATTACTTGTTTTGGTAAATAATGCCATTACCAGCAAATTTTGGAGTCAAACTTTGAAGTTATTATTTTATTGTATACACTGACACACACACAACAGAAACATGCGACAAGAGCTCTTTAATACTTCTAACTTACCCAGTAGTTGTCCTTGAAAGCATGGTTATTCGAAGAGCGTAGATTAATCATATCTTCTATTGTATTCTGCCAGCGGTCCATGCCAGCAGCTATTTTGTTGGTGACGTTCTCCCTATTCATGGTATCCCCACCATCGTCTTCGTGTGAGGACGATGCATTACCAATGCTCTCTTTGCTACTAGTACCACTGAATGACCTGGAAAATTGTTACTAGAATTAGCTTTTTACTCAAAAAATACTTCCAATTTGTCAACATTCATATTTTATAAATCATGACTATTTATTAACAAAATGGTTTACTGGTGTCAGCTGAAATGAAAAATAAATAACAAAAATTATTAATTTTTAGCCTAGTACATATAATTTCAGTACAAACGTATTCTTTACGCTTCGCAAAGTATAAATACTCAAGTATGAAAGATTTTATTTTTTTAGTATAAATAAAATAGAAGCCTCGTCTCCTCCACAAAAGCAGATTATTCGGGACAAAAAATCGATTCATCATGCAATATTTGATTTGTATCTTATACATATTTAGAGACAAAGCGATCAAGCGATCTCAAATTTTTATGTACATGTTTCGTTTGACTAGATATAAACACGAATAATTTCTGTTCTAATTAAGGATTGTTACTCTAAATCGTTATCGCCTCGAAAGATAAAGTCAATAAACGTGAGTGTCAACTTGAATTAAATGCATTATTACAATAAAAACAATTTAATTGAGAACATTATACAGGTGCAGTGAAAACACGTTACATTTATGGCATTAATGGGCTTTATACATCAACTGGATCCGTCTTAAATGAAAAAAAATGTAAGATAAAATTTTAAATAAGAATTAATACATTATTTAGTGCTTAATTTGTAAACTCAATTTCTATTGAAATGTATATTCACATAAAATCGATAGTTAATTTAATTGTCATTAATTTATTATTATCGTGGCTTACTGGTTAAGGGACTGACTCTTAACACTGAGATGGTGAATTTATGCACCGACAGCGCACCAAGGGATTGCTTTCATTGTGCTATATATATATATTTATATATATATATATATATATAGGACTCTATAGCGCGAACTATTATTCCTCTATAACAAAATCCAATACATTTTTGACGTTCGGAAGTCATAGTTGGCTCGAGACTGCGCTTAGTCTGACTTTCTAAATCTTATCTATAGTCAAAAGACTGGTCGCCTGTTTGCATATAAAAATAATGAAAAAAAAAACAGTTGAGGCCCCGACACAAAAGGGTTGTAGCGTCACTATCGAATTAAATAATAATAATTTAATTCGAAAAACAAAACCAGTTTAAAACAGGTTTCTTACATATTTAATAGTAAACTAAGATAATATATGAATCACATTTCCTACTCGATGCGTAACTCTTTCTTACTCATCCGCAATTCACGTGCATTCGTTAATTACACAAAACTTAATTAACAAAGAAACAGGAAACGATTTGTGATTTGGATCATACAGTACTTCCTGTATTCCTAAAGTATTTTGGTAAAATATTTTTTTCAATTTGAGTTTTGAGATTTCATAACACAAATTAAATACTCGTTCTGGTTTTCGAAGGTAATTCCAATTCCATACATTATACATTTTTGATATAATATAAATATAAAGGTAAAGAGAAGAATAACTAAGGTAACAGATATCACAATGAAAACAAACAAAGCAAGTGGAGCAAGAAGGTATAATACATATTTAAACGCAAAAGAGGAAGACAATTTAGATGGTGGATAGACCAGATTAAGGAAACAGCAGATGGTGCATGGCAAAGAGTGGCAGACAGAAGTGGCGGAATTTGGAGGAGGCCTTTGCCAAATCTGCCTAAATATCTGTATTTGACAGATCAGGTATTTAAATGTAAAGTATCTGAAAGCTTTTATTAATAATGTAAATAATACACCATTTTCAAAGTGTAATTAAGTGTTACTTTTGTAAGACTTACTGTTTTTATACATGCTTATTTCGTGGATTGTGAATGCGAAACATTTCAACAGCTTCAGTAAATGAAATTAGCCCAGTGGCGAACTAGCGTTAAACTGGTTGGTTTTGCAACGACATAACTTACTTGAGATAAACCTACGATACATCTTAAACTATCAATTTATTTCACAATCTTTAATTACCTTGTAATTATTTCATTATATTTGATTTCTTTTTACATAATACAAAAAAGGAATACTCAAATCATAGTTAATATTTGTTAAAAATACGAATAAAAAACTTATATCTATGAATAGTTTATGATTCAAATGATTAAATATTTAGTTTGTGGCGGTTAAGTCCACTTGTCGCTTTTGTAAACTATTATTACCGAACAAGCGAACGATGCAAATGATAGTAGAAACGATAGCTCCAAACCGACTATTGGTAAAGGGCATTTGTCCAGACCAAATGTTGCAATGCGGAAGCTTTATCGCAAGTTCTAATTAGTTAGGTTTAAACCTTTAAATTTATAATTTAATGAATGTTCTATTTAACAAAATTTTTGGTTTTAGAGATGTTAAGTTTCTCAATTTACTATCACATGAGCAGACACAATTTACGTTAATTTCCTTTTTTATAAGATGGTGGTGGCTAAAACAATATAATAATCTCTCAGGCTCTAAAACAATACTATATGATGTATTGTATATGTGTGATAAACAGAAATGTTAGCGCTTTAGTAACAACTATGTATCTATGGGCAAATTGTAAAAAGCACAGCTTAAAAATCATCTTATCTGCTATTTGTGTAAATATGAGTTATGTAATCTAAACGCTTTTCAATATACAGTTTATACATAAAGCGACCCCAAATCTAAACTAACTAAATAAGATTAAGTTATGTTTTTAAACAGATATGTGTTATTAAATTAGTTTATTTATACAACAAGATTTTTGTTTCTCCGCACAGTAACATTATCAGCGATGATATAAAAATTGTTCTAATATACATAAATTTGTTCTTTATCTTTTATCTTTGATCTTAAAAGTTTCCGTTACATTTTTTACGAACAGATAACAATTTTTTGCAGGTCTGCGTGTCACAACCACACTACCCAAAATTAACCGATAAATTAAGCTCTTGTTTTTAACAGTAATGTCAGCAGTAGACACTTTTCCTCTTAGTAGATTCATTTCATTGAACATCTCCAAACTACCGCGAAATTTGTTTCGAAACAGCTAAATAAGAATCAGCTAATGGTTGTTCGGTCGCGCCTCGTGGCCGTTACTCGTTATATAACCGACATTAAAGACCGTTGACATCGTATTTTGAACCAATAAATTTCTACTTATATACATATACGTATGATTTCTTAATAACTTAAAGACAATTTAGACTTAGCGTCCTTCAAGAAAAGAGCGTACCAATTCTGAAAAAAGGAAGGCCGGCAACGCACTCGCGAGCCCTTTGGCTTTGAGAGTCCATGGACACTTAACCTCAGGTGAGTCTCCTGCCCGGTTGCCCCCTGTTCTATAAAAGGTGTATATTTAACAATATAATAACAATCAATTTTGAAATAGGGTTAAATTTATATTTAGTGCTTAGATTGAAGATTATTTATTAGAAATTAAAATTCTTTTTTGTATCATAACACCATTTATCAATCATGGATTTTTCCTCATAAAATTTTAGTATAGCATTTATTTTTTAGTATACTCGATGAGGTTACTTTTAGCCTTTATGAGAATTGGATATCTGCCAAATGCATAGTTCAAATTTAAAAAGTGAATAACATCACTATTACACTTTAAACTATCCATTCATTGTACAATATAATCCGCTGAACTAATGTTGTACTGTCTCTAATCCCACATTTTTATACAGTAAAAAAATTAATCTGGTTTCAAAAGCTGCCAAAAGTATTATTGCCATTTTCGAAATTGGAATACAAAACTTACGCTCGTACTCTCCACCAATGGTAGAGTAATAATTACGTATATTAGGTCCTTACATATGAAATTGGCGTTTTGTATGGGAGGAACAAAAAGTTGAATATTTTTAAATATAATATATTTAATTAATCAAAGTATGAACCATTGTTTTCTATGCACTTTTGCCATCTCATAGGTAGTTCATTGATCCCTTTACTAAAAAAACCAGTCGGACGGGAATCAATAAAATCTGTGAAGGCGATTTGGACTGCCCCATCAGAGTTAAATTTTTTCCCTTGCAAGAAGTTGTCCAAATTTCGAAAAAAAATGGTAATCTGTTGGAGCAAGGTCCGAGGAGTACGGAGGATGTCTTAGACATTCCAATTGAAGCTCTTCTAATTTGGTAGCCGTCTGTTGTGCAGTGTGTGGTCTAGCGTTGTCGTGAAGTAGCAGTGGCGTGGAGCGATTGACCAGCCTAGGTTGTTTAGCCGCTAGCTTTTCCATCATGGTTTGCAATTGCTGACAATAGACATCAGCCGTAATAGTCTGGCCAGATTTGAGAAAACTGCAATGAACAATACCGACACTAGTCCACCAAACGCTTACAAGTAACTTTTTTGGGGTTAATTTTCGCTTGGGGCAGGATTTGGCTGGCTGGCCAGGATCCAACCATTGCGCTGAGCGCTTTCGATTATCGTAAAAAATCCATTTTTCATCACAGGTAATGATTCGGTTTAAAATACCTTCATTATTGTGCCGGTTCAGTAATGTAACGCAGCAGTCGACGCGCGTTTGCCGGTTTGCTTCAGTCAATTCGTGAGGTACCCATCTTTCAAGCTTTTTTAATCTTCCCAATTTGCTTCAAGTGAATTAAAACAGTTTTATCACTAACACCGCAGCCTGCAGCTAACTCGGACGTGGTTTGCGATGGATCCGCTTCCACAATAGCCTTCAATACTTCATTATCAACTTGGGTCTCAGGCCGTCCACGGGGCTTGTTCTGCAGGTCGAAATTTTCAGAACGAAAACGTTGGAACCAAAAACGAACTGTGTTTTCTTTTGCAACATGACCGCCATACACATCATTCACCCTTCGAGTCGTTTCCGCAGCACTAGTGCCACGGCGGAACTCGTACTCGTAAATAATGCGATACTTTAAGTTTTCCATTTTGTAAAACGCAAACAGAAAAAAAACAGAAAAAAAAAACAAATGAATGACGGTCATCGAAGTACAAATAGATGAGTAAATAGCTGTACAAATTTGAATTTGGAATTCCTTACCAAAGAGGAGAACATCGTGATTAAAGTGGCCAGTACGAAAAACGCCAATTTCATATGTAAGGACCTAATATTACAATATAAACGAATTTGATGTTCGATTAAAAGAGTACCGAGAGTTTTTTACGCCGGCTTTTTCTCTCGGCCTACACCCTCTGTCTTCTTTGCCGATGAGTAGGGATGTCTACCGATTCAAATTTAATGACGTGGAATAAGTGATATCTGTATCTTATATTCGATAATAAACATATTTTTTTTATTTGTTTTTATTTATGATTACCAACGACTGATTTAAGCAGGCCAGTGATTTACATTTTTAAGCCGCCGATTTGTGTTATCTTCACTAAACGCTAACTATTAACTGGACTAAGTACGACTGGAATATATACGGGTTATTTTTACAAAAGTCTTGAGTATAATTTCTTTTATATCTATAACATCAAACATCATGACGAAATTATTTAATCAAACCCAAATTATTTATAGAATAAACCTTGAAAACGTAATTCAATTTAATTCGAATGAAATAAGATTTCCTTCCTGCAAACTTGTCGACAGGAAGTGGATTTTTTAATTATGAGTAAAGTCGAAATCAACAGCCTTATTTTTAACCTTAAGAAATTTTTATTGTAACTACCGTTTATAAACCTAATTTGTTTATTAAACTCTCACTCTGGTTTGCTAATGTTATAAGGAAAGAAATTTAAAAAGATAATTAAATTAAGATATACCGAATAATTCTGCATTTTATATAGCGAAATGTTTATTAATATAAGATACCAGGATCTCCTTTTTTATTAACGTTTACGTTAACGTTTATTAGTAATTCGAAAATCAATAAATAATTACTATGGAAATATGTAAAGAAAAG